GTGGGCAGTCTCACTCCATCTCATCAGGAGGCTGCAAAGGCATCACCCTTGTCTTGCTCCCGATTGCAGCAGTCTTAGTGCAAAGCCAAGCCCTTTGCTCTGTGCTGTGTGACCCTTGGATAGCCAACCTTATAAATGTGGCCAGTATTTGGCATGGAGGTTCCAGTGAAGGTCTGTGTGTCCAGCCGAAGGCCAAATGTTCTCTTACTGGGACATGCTCTCAGCTCCGGTTCTTACCAGCTTTCTCCTTCTGGATCTCTAAGGGGTGTGCAAAAGAAGCAGGGAAAGGCAAAAAGAGGGAAGGAAAATCCAAGTTCTTATTGACTGCTTGGTCCCTGCAGAGACTATGGCAAGTGGGGATTGGGAGGGGGAAAAGCTCCTACTGCATCGCTTTGTCTTCAAGCAATTATGTGCAAGTGAGTTAATCACAGGGTCACAGAAGCCATAACCATTAATTAATTCCCAGCATGAGCTGCAAAGATGAATTATTTCCTGCAGCAAACAGACGTGGATACCAGTGTGGCGAGGAACCCAGCTCTCACCAGATGAGCAAGGGCAGTGCCAGCGGCTCCACCACAGATCCATGGGATGGACCCCAGGCCAGCCCCTTGCATCCCTGCCAAGCTCCAGGCCGTGAGGGTAAAAGCTTTCCTGCCAAATCACTGCTTTTGAATGGCTTTGATGGGGGGGAGAAGGGGAATGGCCACCAAAACAGAGGTTCAGTCACTCCTGCAAGTGGTAGAAGGCAAAGGCATGTGGATCTGCTCCTCACAGAGCTGTGAGCAAGGGTAGGGAGCTGGATGGGTATCCATACGGAATGCTGCGGGTATCCCTGCTGTCCGTAATCCAGATGGATTAGGCTTGGTTATAAACCAAGGAGATCATCTCAGCAGCCTTTAGATGGGAAAAGCTGGGAAGCTTGTGCCAGGGGGTGTCTGCCCTCCTGTGCCACCCCAAGTGGATACACTGCCTATGGGATCTGTTCCTGTACTGTTATAATGGGGGAGAGGAAAGAGGTCATGGAGGGGTGGATGGGAGCATCTACATTATCTATTTAATACCTATTTTCACCTGAATTGCTGTTTTAATAACTATCTGCTCTTGGAGCTTTGTAGAAAGCTCCTGTTAAATCCCAGATGCAGGCACATCTCCTGGTGAAATGGCTCTAAAGCCAGCCCAGGGCAAATGAAACCGTGCTGTAAATCCTGGCATCTCCTTGAAAACTGCCCTTTTTTTCTGGATGCCTTTCCCTTTGGTATTTGCCCTCATTCCCCTGCATGGAGCAGTTATTCATTCACCCTTTTTGGAGAGGGTAGGAAACCTTCTGAAAATCCATCTTGGTGCAAACTCTTCCCCTAAACTCAGAGCACACCAGTTCAATACAAATTATGATTTGCTTTAGGCTGTGCAAGTTGGCTGCGTGCACACAGTTAAATTAGTTTAAAGCCAGCCTCTATTTATTTAGCTAAATGGGATAGGAATACTGCTAAAACCAAACTGAAATCATCCAGATTCCTCCTGGGCTGTCAGAGACTGTTCAGTGCAGGCACGGAGCTCTCCTCACCATGGCTCATCACCTCTGGGCTTTGTATTCCTTTATTAAGCCCCTGCTCTCCCCAGTGCTGTGGTCAGCTCATCCCAAGAGAGACCGACCCTTAAAGCCTGATAGTGAACAGACCCAGGGCATCGTGACTGCCAGGAGGATGATCCCTTCCATGGACGTGCTCCCATCATCATAGAATCACAGAAGTTAGGGTTGGAAAGGGCCTTAAGGTCCGCAGAGAGCTTTACCCACTCCTTGCAGGGTAGGATCAACCCCTGAGATGCTCCTCCTTGGGATGCTGCATGCAAGTGTGGCTTCTCCTGTGTGACTTCCCTGGTGGCATCTCACAGGTCCAGGTGCCATCCAGCTGCTGCCCCAGAGCCTGCTGCAGCCTGAGCCCTGTCCATCACCAGGACAAGCTCTGGTCCTGGTCCATTGTCCCCATGGCCAAGCAATATAAAATACACCACTGCAGCTCAGTGAGAAAGGAGGTTTTTACACGCTCCTTCCAATAAGCATCATTTTAGGGCCTATATAAGGGTTTTTTTCTTTAAAATCAGACAATTTTGGTTGCAAAAAAAAAAAGCCATTAAAAAGAAGTCAAAACATTTCACTTGAAAATGATCCAAAGGGAGCTGAGTGTCCTGAAGTGAAATATCTTTATTTGAAGGCATTGGAATGAAGCATTTCAGCTCATTCCAGATGCGTTCCTGGCTGCCTCCAGCCTGTTCAAGCTGAACTCCGCTGGTTCTCTGTTTGCTGGGTGTCCACCAGTTAATGCTGTTTGATACTGGGATGAGTGATTTTCCCATTGACACAAGCATTTGCACTGATTTAACTTGGTTAATTGCAAATCATTGCTGCTGTTACCTCCTGAATGAGATCTTCAGGAATAAATGTGAAGCCCACACAATGCCTGGCTGTTGGCAGAGCTCATGACCCAAGGCACAGACCCAAAACCCCACCAACGTGTTCATAGCAGCCTCCCAGTGTCTGAATGGGGCTACAAGGATGCTGGGGAGGGGCTCTTCATCAGGGACTGCAGTGATAGGACAAGGGGTGATGGGTTCAAACTGAAACAGGGGAAGTTCAGGTTAGAGATAAGGCAGAAGTTCTTCCCTGTGAGGGTGCTGAGGCGCTGGCACAGGGTGCCCAGAGAAGCTGTGGCTGCCCCATCCCTGGCAGTGCTCAAGGCCAGGTTGGACACAGGGGCTTGGAGCAAGCTGCTCTAGTGGAAGGTGTCCCTGCCCGTGGCAGGGGTTGGAGCTGGATGAGCTTTAGGGTCCCTTCATCCCAACCCGTTCTGTGAATCTGTATTCAGAGCACAACAATTAACTCCAGACACTGACAGACCTAAGATAAGGGAGCCTACTACAGCGCCCATCAAGTCTTGTGCTCAATCAGACACTCCCAAGAAAGCAGGAGCATTTTGCTCTAATTTCTCATCTCCTCTCATGCATTGAGACCTGACCTTTATGAGCCCTGCCCAGTCTCACCCAGCCTGAGCACTGCTTTGTGGTGTTTATTCTGCTGCAGCCAGCGCCCTGCTCCTAATGATCAGTCTCTTCAGAGCCACACTAACCTCTGCCAAGAGCGCTTCATGAGCCTTATTTGCTGCCATCATACAATGTAAGGAATAGGGGGATCAGGATGAGAAATCTCCCTGTGAAATAGGGAGGTTTGGATAAGAGCTGGCTGCGGTGGTGGCTTGGATGTGAGGAGCTGGGCTGGAAGAAGGAAGGGAGCATGGGCAGGCTGGGGAAGGAGCTGGTGGCTTTTTAGTGACTTGAAAGAAGGGGGATAAATGAACCTCGAGCCAGATGCAGTCACATCCCCAAGCCCAGCGACCGAATGGACAGGGAGGGAATGCTGGTGGTGCTGTGGGGAGCAAAATTCCTCCTTTGCTTGGCTGAGGGGTGAGGATGGGGATGTCCGTTCCCCAGGACTGTTGGGGTGATACCTGGGAAGCTGCAAGGAGGGATGGTTGCGTGCCTTGTGGCTCATAGGAGGGTTTGCACACCCTGTCCACTCTGAACCAGTGCAAGGCTCTGCCTCGTCCTCTGCCCCCAGTGTGCCTGGGGATCAACCCTGAAAACCCATAGAGGCTCCTGGCTGCAGCACCCAGGAGCAGTGAAGTCCTAGGGCCATAGGGAGACCATGGGGCAAGGGGGGATCAACCAAACAAGGTGCCAGTCCTGCAAGGAGCAGTAATCCCCTGCTGAAAAAGGGGATGGGATGCTCTGAACACTGTCAGCAAGAGAGCAGAAGGGAAGCCAGGCAGCTCCATGCTTTAAAAGAGAGAGAAAATGAGCTTTTGCAATATCCTCACCCATTTACACACATAAAACTTTCTAAATGCTAAGCCAAATAAAGTCCTCTTTATCGGTGTATGACCACTTAAGGCTCTTTCAGGCAGATTTAGAATGAATTAGTGCTTTTTCTAACTACAAATAGGAGCAGAGTGAAACATCTTACTCCCATCAACCCACATGGCTCCTGCCTTAACCCTTGCAGGGGAGGGGAGGACCCAGCATGGGCCAAGGTGCCTCCCGGTACAAGGTCTGGTGTGAAAGCTGCTGCTTCCCACGGATCCTGTTGGTTCTGGGCCAGGTTTTGCTATGATGAATCAGCTCCATAGCATCCTAATACCCCCCTTAGTACTATGCAGAGTTATGCAGGTTTTTGGAGCGTGGGGGAGCATTCCCTGTCTCACTTTGCCATCGCCAGGACACTCGCTCCAGCGGTGAGAAAAGGCCACTGTGCCTTGTTGTAATTGCAAATTGGCCACTTGGTCAGGATGGTGCTGGGCGCTGAGCCCCAGTCCATGCCCACGGCCAGTGTGGCCCCTCCTGCTGAATTGAGATGGTGACTTGAGGACCTGGAACAAATCCAGCTGGGCAGGTTTGGGGCACAGCAGAGATGAGCAGTTAGCACATGCTGTTGGCTTGGTCAGTGCACAGGGACAGGAGCCGTAACTCCAACACAGCACCTTTCTCCTTGTCACAGCCTGGACAAGAGGAATGATGGAGCCAGGAGAAGGCAGCTGGGAAGCGATGGGGTGATGCATGCCCTCTCCTCATCCCCTCACCTCAGGAGGTGATGTGCAGCTCCATACACAGGCATGGGGTGTAGTTCTGGGTGCTTTGGGTCTTTGGTTTGGGGGCCCAAGTTTGCGTCTGAGCTCTGGGAAGCTGGAGCACATCCACCGTGCTTGCACAGGATTGGTGTGGTCAGGTCTCCAGGTCACCGTCCCCATGTCCACTGTTCCCACATAGGGCAGAAAACCCCTGGGGCTGAACCCCAGGGGAGCACCCAGCCCATCAGACAGCTCAGGACCCCTGTCCCCCCCTTGTTAGCAATTAGTTGCCTGATTTAATTGCTCTCCAGTCTCCGGTCTGGGTCGGGCTGTTTGAGGAACGCTGATGTTTCACAAAGCTTTTCTGCTGTTGTTTTGCAGGGAATGGGGAAGCGGCCGTTGGAGGCTTCATGGCTAAAGTTATTTATAGAGATTAATGGCTGTGGCTCTGGGTGCCTCCAGGAACGGAGTCACCATATGCTCCTGCTTCTCAGCGCACACATGTTCACCGCGCACGCACCTACGCGCTGCTCCTCACTGCTGCTTGTGGAGGTGGGTTTGGGGTGCCCAGTGAGGATAAAGTGGGGCACGGGGGCTCCAGGGGGGACCCCACTGCATGGGAAGGGTGCTGGGAGGAGAGGGGCTCCCATTGGGATGCTCCGACCTGGTCTGGGCTGGGGGTGTTTGCTTTAGGGATGCTCTCACATCTCTCCCTGTCTGATGGGGCTTGTAGGAGGGGTGACCAAGCCCCCGGTGTCGGTCCAGCCACCCTTCCTTCTCCCCCTGCCTTGCCAGGCAGTCCTGTGAGCCCTGGGAGTGTCCTCCTGACATACTCCAAACATCCCCAAGGATCCCCAAAATCCCAAGCTCACAGGTCACTATGGGGTGGCTTCCCAAACCTCATTCCCTGAATACACAGGCTGCAATGAACCTGGGCTCTCCGGGGCTTGCTGGGCACAGCACTGGTGCTTTTCAGTTGGGATCTGCTGAGATCAGCAGGAAACCAGCTTTGTGAATGGTCCCTTAGACCACTCTGCAATGGTTTCTCTCTGCTCCTTTCACTGGGACCCATCACCCATGCAATTCCTGGACAGCTGGATTCCCCATCCCAGGTTCTGTCGTTAACAGCTCTGCAAGCTGCCCAAGGAGGGAAGGGGTTTAGGTGAGCTGGGACATGAGCCAAAAGCTCAGGGAAGCAAACAGCCTCTCCAGTTTGCATCCCATGCTTTCTCCCAGCAAGTGATGTGGGATGGTGGTGGTGAAGAAGCCACTCAGATGTTATTCTTCTTGGAAGCCATCCTTGTTGAGGCTACCTGCAGTTTCTGTGGGATGTTGGTACCCAGGATATACGAGGCCCAGAAAGGCTGGGAAATGACACACCAGTGGCCATTAACTGCCAGGCATTCAGCACGCATCAAGCGATGGCACCCAAACCACCGCTGCCGATGGTGGAGGTGATCTGGGCTGTTTGAGAAGGTGAAGATCTGAAGCCAAATCCATCCCTGACAGGTTCACCTTCAAAAGAGGCATCACTGCTGCCCTTCTGGAGTCCTGCTGTTAATAAGGGGCCATTAGCAGAGCAGCTGCTGGAAAGGGCCTCCCGAGTCCCACCATGTGAGAGCCATATGGAGCGGGAGGGGTGGGTGGAAGAGGGACGTGAGGAGCCTGTCAGCATCTGCCCAGCTGGGGTGATCTGCGAGGCATCTTCTGCCACATGGCAAGTGATAAATGGTGCTAGGAGCAGGGCTGACATCTCTGTTTGCTCCTCTTCGTTGTGTAGCTCTTGGGAATCATCATGCATTGGGCTGGGGCCTTGAGCCTCTCCCACATGTGTGTGCTCTCATGGAGCCGGTGGGAAGTTTGCCATGAAGCATTGCTTCAGTTGGGGATTTTCAGGATGCTCTTTTGCACCAGGTTAATCTTCCACACTCGAGCAGACTCCAGTTCCCAGCACTGACTGAGAGGAGAGCTTTCCCATTGGTGAGGAATGGATTCCTTCCCAAGTTCCTCCTCAGTACCCACCAGGATGAGAGGAGAAATGCACTGCATCTCCAGCTGGGTATGGAGGACCCTCTTCGACCCTTCACAACCCACTTGGCAGTCTGTTAACACCAACTCCACTCTCCTATGTTCATTGATTTTTGAGAGCTCCTCCTGGACCATCCTACAGGATTCAGAAGCTGTCCAGGTCTCTTTATTTATTTAATGCATTTTCTTATTAAAGACCACTCTCTTCCCAAGGCCAAAGCCAACTCTTTGAGCATTTCCTTTTCACTCAAGGCAAATGGAGCTCAGTTGGAAAGAGCCCCCAAGGCAGGAGGGAATCCCACATTCCCTGATTCCAGCTTTCCTCTGCTGCACAGTACAAAGCAATTTGCAAGTCCTCATTCACAACAAAGGGAAAGAAAGTCCAAGGGCTGAGTTTAGATTCACTTTCTCCTTGATAGAAGGCAGTGGCTTGTGGCTTTTGTTCATCTTCAGCCCCTGTTTCAATGAACAAAACACCACACATGGGCTGGTTGAATTCCATCAAGCAGGAAAGCAGCAGTGGTAGGAGACCAGTCAGATGCCTTTTTGTGCCCATCAAAGGGAGATTGGTGCATAAACAGCAGGTAGGGATGTCTTAGCATCACCTTCTCTTGTTGCTCTTTCACATGCTCCTCTGAGCATCATGCCGGTCCCCACTGCTCCAAGAGCATGAGGCCCCATGCCTCAGCTCCAAGTTGAGACCTGGCTGCTGGGAGCTGCCCCAGACCCTTCCATGCTACAGGAGCTCCATTTTCTCCCAGGAAAAACAGAACTCCCAAAGAGGTTTTGTGCAAAACAAGAATCTTTTCTTCCCTCTCCTAACACGAGCCACAAGTTTGGGTTTTACTGGTGGGTCTGGAGAGGCTTTCTGTGGAAAGGGGTGAATGGAGACCTTTAACTCACCTCCCACTTCCATCCCTATTTTCCTGATGTTAAAATAACCCAGTTCTGGTCTCCATGCAAGCCTCATCCTACATCGCATTGCTGATAACGACAGGATCCAGCTATTGTCACCTTGCCCTGGGATGGCTTCCATGCGCTCAGCATGATGTTGAAGGCAAGGAATTGGGAGGCTTATGGGGAATGGGAGGAGTGCGGAGGATGGGGAGGAGCCCAAATGAAGTCCAGCCCCACTCGGTCCCTCCACAGCTGCTTGGACCATCTGGAGGGCGGCAGTGTCCTCTCACTGATGGGGCATCAGTGCAGCGATGGCATCCCTGCAGTGTGCAAATGAAGGGTGCAATTGGGTGCATCAGTCATCAGTGCAACACAAAGGGACTCGGGCCATGGCTAGCTGCCTCCCTCCATAGACGTGGGGCACAGCTCTGTTCATGCTCCCAAAGAGCCCAAACTCTTGAGGTCACTTAGTGAGGAATGGTCCTGGCTCCCAGCCTGTGCCGGTGACCTTGTGCCTTGTCCCAGTGCTCCAGGCTGTCTGCAGCATCCCAGCTCCCTGTGAGCCGGCCCAGCCATGGCAACCAGCAAAGATCTCAGCTGCTCTCTGCTCCCCGACCCCCCCCACAGCCCCGGGACATTGTGCTCGTGGGGACTCGCCACCCCGCAGTGACCCTTTCTCCATCCATCACCCCCGCGTTTCCTGCTCCCCTTCTCATCCCCCGCCACATCTGAGCCATCAGAACAATTTCTCTGTGCTTTATCTTCGCAGCCCTGGGAGGCAAAATGCCTGAAAGCCCATGACTGCATCTCAACTGATGTGTTTCTCACTGGTGGTTGAGGAAAAAGGGCTGGGGCTTGTAGCTGTGATGAGTAAGTAGTGGTGAAGGATCCAGTGAGCAAAAAGAGGATCTAAGGGAGGTGATGGATCAAGACTTTGCCTTGGCTGACTGCTCATGCAAACTGCACCAAGTGCTGTGTGCCACGGTATGGCAGGAGATGGGACTTTTGTGCCCAAACCCTGGGCAGAGACAGCTTTCCTTGGGGAAACAATCCTTTTTACACAGCTCAGAGGAAAAGCAGATTCACACCAGCCTCATTGACTGCTTTTTCCCGTCTCCAATACATTATTCCTTCTGAAAAGCCATTCTTTTTCCACTTCATCCACCAAGCTTTGTTCGCTGTTACAGGGCAATAGTCCCTTCAGTTTTGCTTTTTAACCAATTTCTCCTCTGAAACTTAAACATATGATTTTTAGCTCATGGAGCCATGACACCTGGTACCAGACACCAATCTGTGCTTGCGTGGCTTGTGGCCAGCAGCTCTCTTCCTTGCCAAGGGTTACATCTGCATCCAAGGAATCGCACCCCCGGATGACAGCTCAGGATCCTCTTTGCCTCTTGTAGTCCTGCACGGGGTAGTCTGGTGCTGGCACCAAGGTGTAATGGGAACAGCACCCCAGAAGTTGCTCTGGGAGATGGGGTGTCCTTCTTTATCCCTTTGCACTGAGCTTGTAGCTGCAGATGGGCCCAGCTCAGAGGACTGATGGACTCGCAGCTCCTGGGCTAACATAAGCCCGTATGCCTGAGCTAACACAAGCCTAGTCCCTCACTTTCCCAGCCACACCAGAAAGTTTCCTCCTTGCAGTGTTTTGCCTTTCTAGAATTGATGCAACCTGAGTCACCATTCCTATCTTCTCGTGGGCCTAATTCTGCATCCTCATGTGATGCAGAGATGAGCTCTTCCTCTGTCCTGACTGCTGAGAGCCAGGTCTGGTGGGAGATGAACAGTTTTCTGCCCCCAGATCCCATGTACCTCATAGCTCTTTGTAGGAACGAGCCTCAGATCCTCTCCCTGCTGCTGGTACCAGAGCAGAATCCCTGCCCTGAGCACCAGCAGCCTGCTTGCTCAGCTGGGGAGCTGGGGACCGGCTCAGCCACAGGGGCAGACCTGGAAATCAGAGTCCTCCTCTGTGCCATGCACATCCTTGGGGAGTGTCTTTGCTTCTCCCACCTTGGAACAGGGCTCAGAAATTGGGTGCCCCAGGATGAGAACACCTCCTGCAGGAGCCCAGGGCAAGGGATGGAGCCGATGAAGCACTCGGGTGTGCTCAGGAGCCTTTTCCCTTTCCTTTGCCCTAAACCCCAGGCTGGGTCATCACAAGATTTATTAAAGCTCCCAGTGACCTCCTCCAGGGCTTTGGAGGGTGCTCACTGGAGCAGATGCTCTGGATTCAGGGATGTTTCTGCCTCATCTCCATTGCTAAGCCCCACAGAAACCCTTCCTCTGATTTATTGTTGCACTGTCACCGCTTGTCCCCGCTCCAGATCAGAGATCAGAGGCTGAAGCCAGAGACCATCAGTTCCTCCCTGAGCCGGGCTTCATATTCCCCAAACCAAGAAGGCTTTCTCCTCTCCCTAAGTCTAGTGCAAAGCCAGGACATGCCATAATATAAAGGGAGAAGCAAAGGCAGTTGTTAAAATCACTGCACTCATGAGGAAAACCGGTCCTGTAAGAACAGGGCTGGGCTGAGCCTCACCTGCAGCCTACCTGGTGATGGGCTGGGGCAGGATCAGGCCCTGCTGGCAGCTCCCTATAAAGGGGGTCCTTGGGTTCTTAGTGGGCTTTTG